TAACCAGTCCTATCTACTCTGGTTTTAATGACATCAACATTTTCCAGAACTCGAATTTCTCTTAAGAAACGAATAATCTCAACCAGAATAGACTGAGGTTTATACCTCGTTTTTAGGGAAGCAAAGCTATGCGAAATTTGGTGGAAAAGTGAGGCTTAATTATACTATTTTAGGAAAATTTAAATTTCAGTCCTTAGTCACCTTATGTAGTCTAGAATGTATGCAGCTATTTTTCAGAAGCTACTGATAATTTAGAAGCCTACTTGATACGAACTAAATTCATATATATGACAATTTTAAAAAATAAATCCTACTTATATCAGCATTCCTAGCACCTAGACCAAGCTGTTGAATTCGATATATTTCATCTGATTCTGGGATCCACCAAAAAACTTCAATAAAGAATATTCTACCAAATAAACATTAACAATCTCTAACTCACCGGTCAGTACTGGTGGATTATCGTTTGGCAATGAATGCATCGACATTGAATGCGTAGGCTCTGGACTGTTGGCATCTGAATGCGGTCTTGGCGTCGCTAACAGCCAAGCTTCTGAAGGGCTGTCTGGGCGACCCAAGGTTTCTTCGCCAACAGAATCATCCCCTGCCGCCTCCGAGGCATTACCCACCCTTGATCTGTCGACATTGTCCCTGCCACCAGCAAGGCCCCTTTCACCGCAGCCACCACTTCCTTCGTCGACAGAACCATTGACTGGTAGGCTGCAAAGGAAGCTGTTCATCGAGTCTGTGAGACCTGTACCCCACCACCAGGCTACTTCCGGTCCAGTCTGAGAGGCTCCAGGCCCACCTGCTTGACGCAGTAGACTGACTCCCTGAATTGTAAGATCAAGTGGATCACGCAACGCATCCTCGAGCTCCAACTCTACCGACTTTTCGGTATCATGCTCTTGCAGATGCAATTGTTGCCGATGTCGTTGGTGCTGAGACTCAAACATGGGGGAATCGCAGGCCCTCGGAGTTGATGGTCGGCTATCCTCGAGTCTGTCACGACCACTTCTCCAACAAGAATAGGCTGTGGACAATCGAAGGGTGGTGTTCGCTTTAGAAGCTGAGCGTAGAAATTCACGCTCATCCCCATCACCATCGGCCTCACAATCACATTCGCAATTGCTATCAACGTCGCCAACACCGAGAAATTCACTCTCACCATCGGGTTCCACAGTCTCCGAAAGGCCGTCACCTCGAAGGAAGCTATATTATAGTGCAAACAGACGGATAAGCATCAATTACTATGATCGCACACAATTAATTAAAATAGTAAAAATTTCCTTTAACTTCACTTGGTCTTGCATCCTGCAGAGCTTTTTCTTTAGCAACACCAACGAGGTTTAATACTGGGTCGAAAGCGTCATACGACAAGTCACCACTCATTCAACAATAAAAGACACTTTGTTATATCCTACCATCGAGGTCATTAAGTTCGACCACATATTACATTCAGATGAAGTAGGCTCCAAGTCTCACATATTTAAAGTTACTTGATTACCTGAAATGTGATTAATCTCTTTATGAGTCCCTGTAATTTGTTAAAACCTCATACACTCTTTACGAAAGAGCACATTCATAGAAGGAAAGCATTACTTTTTTTCGTTTATAAGTAGGTTTTCGAGACTACCAGTAGATCATTGATAGATGAAGTGTATTCACCACATTTTGTTTAAGGTGATAAATTAAATTTTTTCCCATAATGTCATGAATAGAACTTACATTTCAATTGAATTTCACATAGCCTGGCTTTCCCGAAAGGCGAACTCATTTAAGGTGACTGCATCACCTGGTATTCCCGAAAGCCTACTTAATAACTAAACATAGGTATATAAGATGTATTCACCCTACTCATATCATTGTGGGAAAATTCTACTGCCAGTCCTTCATCAGTTTAAACTAAATAAACTGATTTACTGGTGGTCTTAAAACTCTGTTTATATACGAAAAATAAGTAATGTTGCCGATTGTTATGGCAAAAATACGTTTGCTTCTTTGACAATCCCACAAAAGAAGATGATATGGCAAAAGGGAGGGCCTTCCTTGAAATTAACATCTACCTTGTGACCCAAGATCACTCGTGGCAATATGGCCAAATGTTTAAGGTGTCAAGCTCCCATTCTGTCACGGTTCGACTCCAGCTAATAAGACCTATGCGAAGTCGAAACTGTAGTCCACTCGGGATGAGAACAACTTTTGTTAAAACAAGGCTATGCGAGACTCAATGGAAACGTCAGTTCTACTTATATTATTGTGGGAAAATTCGACTACCAATCCTTCATCATCTTAAATGATATAGGCTGAATACATATAATATAATTGATTTACTGGTAGTCTTGAAACTATGCATGAAAATTAAGCAAATTTAATTTTGTATGGAAATATTAAGTCAACATTCTGCTAGTATCTTCAAATAAAGGAAAATTGATAATTCTTGCTGTCAGCATCACTATCGAAATTAGTATTGCAAATTTATTTGAGCACATGGAAACTGCTTGCTTTTTTCTGGCATTTATATAAGCTAGTATGACTTAGAATTTATGGGTTTTGAGCCCCCTTCAATTTGAGCGAAAGTTTGAGATGAGATTTTATTCCGCTGGACACAAGGTAAGCATTCCCCTGTTAGCTTAAGGCAGAAATTGCAGGCGCTAGATTGACATATGAAAATAGTAAATGAAATGAAATGGATAGAAAGACTGACGATCAGAATAATGTGGTCTCCTTTTGCTGTAGAGAAATGACCGTGATTTCAGAACGACCTTGTGAAGGCACACCATGCATACAAATAGAAGTTGAGTTTCGAGGGTTCTCTTTGTTTGCAATTACTGTTGTAGTTCCATTTGAAGAGAAACGATAAAATAAAAAGATATGAGCACCAATCGTACCCGGAGACGACAGCAGATTACCATAAACACCGATAAAGTTATATAAAACAAAAGTCCTGCTTCACATATACATCAAAAGATGCAAATTAAATTCTAACTGTCTAATCCAAATATGAGGAGGAAAATAGTATCCATAAGTAAATGTCTCAAAATAATAATAAGCCAAGATACTCGAAGGTATGAAGACCAAGATGGTGTGGCTTTTTGTGTGATCGCAGTGTCCTTTCGTTGTATAGAGGTTGTTTGACCTTGTTTTCGCAACATGGTTATATTAGTATGAAGACTTAGAGGAACGCACCTTGTCCTGAGTCCATTGTCTGCATGATCATTTCCAAATTTGAACGTCTGGGAATGTACCATGTCCACGGTTCAACTTTGGAAATGATTACGCATACAATGGACTCCAGACAAGGTGCATTCCTCTAAGTCTTCCTACCAATACGACCAAGTTGCGAAAACAAGGTCAGACAACCTCAAGCCAAGATTATGCTTAAAAAACAGTTGGCAATACAACCACCGAATGAAAGAAAATTAGCCGAAGGTATGACGATAAAAATGACGGGGCTTATATTTTGGTTGAGGTTTTCTTTTATTGTAGAGAATTGTTTTGACTTCGTTTTAGCAGATTAGTCATGCTATCAGGACGATCTCAATGAAGGCCATTAACATATTCTAATAAAAATTTTGTTTATAGGAATCTCTTAGTATATAATGGCCAAGCTCAATTCCCTTTCAAATAAAAGAAAAATAAAGAGATTCGAAGATCGATACTACCAAAAGACACCCTAAAATTCATCTTGACCATCTCGATCAACGAGTTTTTCATCAAAAACTTTTACTTGAAATTGAAGCAGCACAACAATTATAAACCAAGAGGATCCTATAAACCCAAATTCACTTCGTATATATGATTGCTTTCATCAGGGTTGTCCTGACAATATATGACCACTTTTTGAAAGCAAGACAAATCCACCTACATACAGCAAAAGGAGACCTTAATCAAAATAGAGGCCACATCATCTTCGATTAATTTTCTATTATTTGCTAGCTTCATTTATATCTGGTTTTTGTGAATCATCTAAGCTTATCACTAATTTAGGATATTTATTAATTTACACTTTCGCTTGCATAGTTCTATATAAATATTGTCTAATACGGGAGATCAGTTACAGGAAGACTTTTCTTTCATCAGCTTTTTGTATACTTTTATCGATATTTATGGGAACCATCGTGCTCATTTGGGCGAATAATTTCATCACAATCTTTCACTAGACATTTAAGATAGCTCAATAATTATAAATCAAGAGAGTCCAGCGTTTAAGCTTATCGCTTATAGTTGCGTGAGTTGATTCACCTGCGGTGACTCATCAATATTGTCGTCATTTCGCCAATCAGATACAGCCACCACCGGTATTTCAAATCTGACCTCTGCTTAGAATCGATCATGAAAAGCCTTGCTAAGGTATTTAATGAACTGTCTAATTCGGCTGACGCCATTCCAACTGCGTCTTAGTGTCTCACATTTGGGCCTCATCTGTGAATATCACATTTTTGCTGCATCGCTGAGCTATTCCCTCATCTTCCTATATAGGTTTTCTTCATATCACAAAGCATGAAGAGCCCCATTGCTTCCGCGACAACCGAGACCAGGTCCACCGCTTCGTCTCACCGCATGCACCATTCAATGAAACCTACTTCTAAAGTTTTACCTGACCTCATGCAACAAGAAAACTCACTTCTCAGGTTTCATAGGACGGCATACGTCTTTATTCTTTATCCCTTTCTTCTGTACACTTCTAAGCACTCTCAGTTCTGATTTAATTGTTCTTCAATTATCTATTTGATTGAGTTTTCATTCCTACTGGCGAACGTAGACTAATTAAAATAACTTTGGTAGAGCACTGTCCATTACGGGTGCGCACTGGACAGGGTCTGAAAATTATTGTCCCCTGGTGAGATCTTATTTTGTGTTTGATCTACAGGGCAGTATTCAATTACAAAATTAAATCAATGGCTATTTGTAACTAGTTTAGACATCATTAGGGCATTGATCTGGAGATACATTTTTCACTCTCGATTTTCTAAACGAGTCTAGAATTGTGTTTATCTTACAAATTAATTTAAAAAAAAGGTGGCTCGAATTAACGTAGCCAAACCTTCGGGCTGGGCTCGACTCCTACCATTCCTTATCCACCTTCCAGATTCTCAATAAGACAACAACCAGCTTGAGATTTCCCGGGCTAAGAAGGTTTAGGCTTCTTGTAGGCAGGCCGGCAGTATGCCCCATAGCATTACTAATCTCTACTTTGGTCTTTCCAAGTAAGTAACAGCTAGGCAGTATTCGCTGTTTAACTCATCATTACATAAACATGCATCCAGATTCTTATCTCTTAAGCTCAGATAGTTCGCTTCTTCATATATTCCAAACAGACATCCTAGTTCAGGTTTGAGCAAACTTTTAGTCATTTGGTACTGTTTTGTCAGCAACCCCAGGGCGATCCAAACCGCACACATGAGGGGCAAAGAGGCAAGCACATTATCACTAATATTCATAACTGGTAGATTTCGATGCACTCAGTAAAACTTACTGAAGAAATGGGGTCATGCTAAATCATACAAGATGATGAAGGAGTGATAAAGTAATTTTCTCAGCATAATAGGATAACTTTGTCTTGTCCGGCATAATGATTTCCAATGCACAATCATGTATTTTTTAAGTCTTCGGGAATATATCGGCCAGTTGTTCTTATATTATTATATACAAATGAGGCATAGTAGCAAATATTCCTGTTTTAGCTGAGCTACATTTCATTCCAACTCTAAGTACAAGGTAAAGATATATTCCGTTTATGAAGAAAAACTGAGATTTGAAGAATTTCTTAGTGATATATTGTGAAATGATTTTCCAGTTAAAAGAAGGAAAAGTTAGTTGGAAAGA